TATAGGTATTTGGCAAAAAGAATGGAATCGCCACAATGATCAAATTAATGCTATAATTTTAGTAATATAAAGCACAAACTTTTTATTGGTGTACGTAGGTAAAAATCGTACATTCATAACAGGTATATTTTTTATTCAGATTAAAATCAATGATAAATTTGGTTATCCCAAAGTATTAAAAGTTCGAGCCACACTATAATATGGCCTTCTAACATTTTCAATCTAACCTATAAATGCATAATGTAAACAATACTTCTTTTAGACTTAAATTCATATATTTAGTAAATTTGAAACTTCTGGTAACCAAAACTCAATCAGTAACACGATTACATACTAGTCATAACTGCCGTTCGAGCTTTAACATCCTACAAATTTGATAAAATGTGTCCAACTTCTTGTTCCAATAAACATCACTGAAAAACTTTATAAATAATATCCTGCGCTTCACTCCGTTTAATTCTCTTCATTTTTAACACTTTTCTACGGAGTTTAGAAGAATTAGCTTCAGTTTAATCAAAACAAATCAAAAATGCAGAAAACCGAGCTAAAAAATCAAGTTGTTGACAGTCAATGTACTTTGTTTCAGTGTTGTCATACTTGTGTCTAATGTTAGTTCCTCAAACATTCTTTTCATGACTTTATAGACAGACTGTATTTTTGGACTTTCAGAAAGCCTTCGACAGTTTCATTTCCGATATTAGACGGGGAGGTGGCTCAAAGATATATACATATGATACAATTAGAGAGAGCTCAAATAGCTGTCCTTAAATTAGCTTAAAGTCTACGATATACAAAGATTCCCAATAAAACAACTATATCAGCAAGCAATAGTTCTCACAGCCCGCAAACTTTGTTTTCCTTATACTAAGTTGGTTCCATTGCAAAAAAGTTGCATATACCCTTGGTAACAAGAAGAGTTTCTAGATATAAAAATCCAACAGCTCACTCAGCCCACGTCTTTATAATAAGTTACTGATATCAGACAAAGACATTGTAAAATACCGGTCAAAAAAGTTTCAGAATTCAATTACAAAACGGTTAGAACAATAAAAGTATGATGACTTAGAACAACTAATACAAACAATTTGTAGCCGTTGTTCAAACGCTGACGTGCATGCACACACATACACACACGCACACACAACACAAAGCATAGGCATTATCTTATCTACTTGTTTTTTATTTATATTTACACTTTAATATAATTATTTGCAATGTATTAAAGGAGGCGATTGCCTATAACACAGCGTAACCTTAATGAAAAAATAATGTATAAATTTTTTTTTTTTAAATTTTGAAAACAGAACTCTGTTAATAGGTATTGTCGAGTTCAGTTCATTTGTCATTTGTTTACATTTTGGAAGAAAATTGAAAATTGTCTGTTCATACAATGATAACGATATTGTGGGAAAGTTGATGAGTAGTTGAAAGTGTAAATAAACAATTAGGGTTTAGATATTTAAATGAAAGAAAATATAATTTTAATGTTGTTTAATTATAGAGTAAATGTACATAATAGATAATGCTATTCAATATTAAACAATGACCTAACTTGGTAGCAGTTATCACAGACTACTAATTCGTGATAAACGAAGAATGATTAACAATAAAATGTAGTATCTGTAAATACCTACTCCCAAAAAGGAGTACTCGATCTGATTAATCTGTTTTTTTTTTTATGTTAGCATAGCACCCATACACTTTGTTGTTACTAAAATATAATAATTTAATATCATTGTACAAATACGATTCATAGCCTTTTTAAGACGCAGCGATATTCGACATTAACATAAATTATAAGTATTACAATACACAAAAAAGTAATAGAAATTGAAATAAAAATATTAATACAAATAGTTTCTGTTACTACGTGATTATCCATGTCTTCTCTATTTATGAGAGATGCTATTTATTAGTGTCATATTAAACGAGACAATTAAGCTATTAATGTTATTTTTTCCAGTATACTTTTACATTGCTTTCATACACCTATAGGTGTTTAGTGGAGTTGACTGTAGCGCTTTAAATCGCGAGGCCACACATTGAACCACACATTTGATACATTTACGCGTGACTTAGTACAACTTTTTATAATGGTAACAATTCTGTTGCACAAACTTATAACTAAATAAGGTCAAGTCCTGTCAAACTACATTTTCCCATGTGTTAATAAAGAAGCTAACAGAAGTCAACTTATCTATATAAATATAAATAGAATTACTTTGTATGATTATGGAATAACGTTAAAACAAAACTTAAAGCCATATGTTTTAATTTAGTTTAGAAAGTGCTGCATGCAACAGAATTGGTATCATTGACGATTGTGCGGCTAAAAGTCTTAGGTGAAATAATAATTATAATTGAAGCGATATTGTAACAAATTTAGTAGATTTATACCTCAATACGGAAACTATTCCGCATAACCCTCACATGTTACTTTTTTATACTATTACTCGGTTAAATGGACTTAGATTGAAGTTTATTTGTTAAATTTAAGTTTATAGATAACTAAATTTTTATTTAGACTGTTAAAGAAATTCAATAACATATTTAATATGAATATTTCAGGCTTACCACAGCACATTACTACATTTTTATAAATCGGCAAAACCGTCTGCGCAGAATCAAGTTAAAGCCAATGGAATACGAGCATCGCACACTTGAATGATAGACTAACGCATTACTTTAAGCTTTACAATTGAAGAACTTCTGACTTCAACTGAACACGGGACACACATCAACCAGGGCTTGGTAACGGTTCGAAAAATAACGGTTAATAATGATTATTAACTAGGTTTTTCGAAAACATTAGCTCGGAAAGGAATCGTTTCACGAGTAACCAATTACAAGATCCAAGCAAAAAATGGAGCGGAATTTCGTACGACGTCTGTTCGAGACCTAAAATTGTTCAATGTCGGGTGTTTGCTTTTCATTAAGAAAAAGTGTCGCGAGTGTGCGAAGGCATATAGATAAGACAGGGAAAGGAAAATATGGGTGGGAAATTAACCGGTCTTTCGGTTGGATTTTGCATCATAAACAAAATATTTAATCTTCGATTCGCTATCAAAAACGCATGGATTTTTTTATGAGCTGGTTCATCATATCAATTGGATCAGGTCATTTATTGCGTTGTATTTTACATCTTATAACAATTGAAACAAACTCATTATAAATTTTATTGGGTATAGGGTGCCGCCTGCCGCACCCTATTCAGTGCAATAAAATCTTTTATATAGTATTGAATTGTACGTAAATCTAGAAATTAGCTCGTAACTGTGCTTCAAAAAAATATACAAAAATCAAATCAAAACTTACGTCGCCTATGGACGCTAAAACGTCGCGTCTATAGTGTCTTAAATATCGCGGCGACTTTTACATATAATCTTAACACATCAACTTGCCACCAGTTATCATAATCTGTTTGACAACTTGTACAAAGCAAGTATGTGGTAAGTTGGGTTAATATAATTATGTATAAATATAAACATAAAGCGTAAATAATGCTTCTTGAATTACATATGGCGTTTAGGAGTAGCCGTAATTTTTCAGTCGATAATACATTAATCAGAACGCTAAATCTAAAATATAATTATTTGACAATTGCACTAAATGTATAATTAGTTACATACAATATATGCGTAACTATATTACACCAATATAATACCATCACCCAGAGATTGCGCATATTATTTTAATCACAAATTTTAGTCTTTAGAACAAGCAACGCAAACTATTTTGGCATTGATATAGACAGCAATCTTACTAGATCAACCTCACTGGTTCATCAGAGAAAGATGTTTCTTCCATATTTTTTTACTAGTATTTAATGATATTTATTTTCACTAGATGTCACTTATGTGAGAATTTGTATATATGACTAACTAAACGGCATTTGGACCCACTACTAATTGGATCAATTGTTATTAAGGTCAATTTGATAAGCCGTGAATAATACACTCAACAGCATATCGGGTTATTCAACTGTTTCTTTTTTTATTTTAGGTTCAGAATTAGTGATACTGTTTAAAATGATTGCGCTTAAAGGATTTATGAACACACAACTACATGAGTAGGTAGGTATTTATATACATTCATCCCAGATTAGCGACATCTAGTGATATAGTATAAAATATATCATATTAATATTTGAGTTCATAAATTACTCTAATTAAACTTAATATAGTTGTTTCATCTTAATTTAAATATTAATCTGAATATAGAACTATCGGAATCAATAGCTTTAATTAAAAGTGAGAAGTTTCCGACATTATTTATCTACATAGAATGACTGTCTTTCTTTTCTAAAACTGAGAATAATAAGACTGGTTGCTCATAAAAATATTTAACCAAATGACCTTTATTTTCGTTGCAGTAAGGCACACGAGATGTTAAAATTGTATGAGTATTTTTTAAATTGTGTATTAATTCTAAATGCTGTTGAAGATAGTGCTACAGTTTTATTCTTTTGACAGTCAACATAAGTAAGTGTTCTGATATAATTTTATTAAAAAGCCTATTATTGTTTTCGCTTATTTTAGATTCCAATTTTTTTATAATTTACTAAACAATAGTATATTGACTTTTAATAATATTCAAAATGAATCAGTGACATAAACATAAGAAATTAAAAATTGTTTCTAAATTAAACCAAACCATGTAAACTCATAATAAAATTATTTGAACAAGTTCTTACAAAACAGACACGACTTAACAGTACAGTATAAAATTGCTAGCTTTATACAAATCTTACTAGCAAGTATAGTAGAATCAATATATAACAAAACAGCATATATAATATGGTTAAAGATTAGAAAGAGCTCTATTCCTATTTGGTATCAGAAAAAATGTCAGCGTGTAACTTTCTACTCTTCAGTGCAACGAAATGCTTTACTTAAATAAACTTTTAAAAATTTAATTGAGCAATTTTATCTAGGTACGTACGACGCATGGGGATTATTGATTTATGACGTCATGAATTAAGTTTATTTTTTTTTTTGTTTAATTGAGCCTTAAAGGTCTCAGTAAAGACTTAAAATGCTTTCTTATTAATTTTTAAAACGTTAGATATCCCTGTATAAATACTGAAAGAAGTGTAGTGTATGACGAACAAACTATATTGGACGAATTCATTTTGAACCCGGTCTACTCAAACAATTATTAACATTATAGTAAAGATCACATTTAATGTGAAACTTTAATGCTACTATGGCGTCGAGATGTTTTACCAGATTTTAATTCATCTAGTGGACATTTTTGTTTATGACAATCAGAAACTAGTTTTATAGAATTAACTCATCATAAAATAAGTTTCATATATATATATCGATTTTATATGTTTGATCAGTTAATTTTTTTTTTAATTTTGTATTGTAACACTTGTTTGCATTGATTTCTTTTCTTACTTTACAGAGCAATTACATAGTTTTATCTCTTATCTTTTATGGGATGGAACATAGATTTTCTATCAATGCCTTTTTAATACATACTTGTAACACAGACGTCAGTAACAAATCGCTTGTTTTCCTTTTGGTCTGCTTACCAATATCAATGGGTAAAAGTGATTGTCTATGGATGTTCCGCTTCCGTGTTCACCACCTAAAAGCGCAAGACATAGATAACATAAACCGTACCATAGACACTTATGGAATACACATTTCCAATTAAAGTAACCGTTCTTTCTACATCTTTACAAAAAGTCGCAATCGCTAGCACATGTCGATATAGTTCGTGAATATCTTTCAAATGGCAAATCGAAAGGGTTTGCGATTAATTTAAAAAAATAGTTAATTAACCCCCTGGTTGTTTTAAAGCATACATACCTCGCTATCTGGTTCAACGGGCGGCGTTTGGCGGCGGTTGCATTGCGGCAACAGTCCGTTGTAGGCCGCCATGCCGACTATCAGTACACCGAAACCAATTAAATGTTCCCAATGGAACGATTGCCAGCGTACCGCTAGAGACACCATCCATACCACGAATGTCCTACAAAAAACAAAACTTAGTAAGACTTAAGCATTGGCCTCTTGATCATAATCCAAATCGAGCGGCCTCACTGCAGCTATGTGTGTGGAGTCAATTGAAAATTATTTATCTACATTAAATTTGTGCCGTTACTGCTTTTAAGCGAAATATGACGGTTAGGAAACATTAGATGAATAGATTTCAAGAATTCACTTCTTCAAGATTTTTGTTTACCTTACTGAATCTAGGACCATTCTTGTAGTGGCTGACATTTCCTTTGTGACACTTATTCCGGCGAAGTTGAAAAATGCTATCGATATAATAGTACCAATGAAGGCCGCAATCAGAATAGAACTGTTCCCTGTAATAATAATGTATAAAAACCTTATATTAATAAAAAGTTATAGAAAAACACATTACATAGGTTATAAGTCTACAGAAAAATATGAGTATAAAAAAATCTTATTAACTTACCGATCTGTACAAGTCCATCGATCGCATCTTCTATACTACCCCTGGCGTTGTTGCCAAAATGTGGTGGTGCTGGTATCCAATAAAACACCACAAGAAGACACGACAGAACAGAGAAACCGAAAACGCCTTCCCAACCGACCGCTTGCAGAGGTGGGATGTTCAATCCTGAAAAAAAAATTCATGCTCGTGAATTGGCTCTGCTAGTTGAAAGAGGATGCCCTAAACAAATTATTCTTGTCGATTTTGTTACATTTCTTACCGAATACGTCATTTGAAGTGCATTTGATGAATTATTTTTTCTTTTTTTTTCATTTCAATGTCTCTGTATGTAATAAAACCGGGAAATGAGCCCTAGCTGAGTTTCTTGCCGTTTCTTCTCCTCAGTCCTCCCATCGGTATTCCAATTGTTAGGAGCAGCGGATTTTTTTTTCCGATCCTCCGATTAAATAGGTTTGGCAGGAAGAGCGGGAATATGATTCCCTAAACTTCCGATTGATGAATTTACTTAATTATTTTAGCACAAATCAATAAATTCAATTAATTTCAAATAACGGCCTAGACTGTACTTTTGGTTAAGTAAAGTAAGTGATAAAAACGAAATTCATTCAATCGGAGGTAAGGGAAGTAGTTTATCCGCTTCTCCTACCAAATCCATTAATCGGAGAATTGGGAAAAACAAATTCCCGCTGCTCCTACCAATCGGAGTGCCGATGGCAGGACTAGGAATAACTCCGAAATTTTCTCTATGCGAGTGTTATGTAATGTTAATTACCTGCAACATATTTCTCTTCATAGACCATCTGACAGGCGGAGACCACTTGAGCAACAATAATGAGTAAGTCCCCTGTGATGAGGCTGTTAGGACCTTTGGATTCGCCGTCTGTTTGATACATAGCGTCTGTTCCTCCTACTATGACCAGCCCGCATATCACCACCACTGGGAACAAATTAATATACTCTTTGGTTGACTATGGCGAAGTCAAAGGTGGGTTATGATATCCACTCGTATTAAGTAAGTTTGTATTTTGTTTTGTACGCATAGAAAATATGAAATAAATAGGTTGTATTATAATAATATGTGCCTTAACAAAAAAATGAAATAAACGTATATAAGGGTTATAAGAAGCAGATGTAACTTGTAGATCTCATAATATAAACAGGAAATTTTAAGATCACGTATGATTAAAAAAAAAAACAAAGTTAAATATTATCACTACATATTATAAACAAAGTCGCTTTCTCTGTCCCTATATCCCTATGTATGCCTAAATCTTTAAAACTACGCAACGGATTTTGATGTGTTTTTTTTTTAATAGATAGAATGATTGAAGAGGAATGTTTTAGTGTATAGTTTAGGTATTGTACAAACTGACGATATTTATGACGGAAAAAATAAAGCCTCGGAAGCTTACCTCGAAAACGCTGCCAAAAACTTTTGAGTTATAACAAAACATTGTATGGTGGAATTGTGCCTTATTTTGTCGAAATAAAGTAGGTACTAAATCAAAATATAGACAATGGCATGCCGATATAATCGAGAATAATAAATTTTAATTCTATTGTTTTTACTAACATCAACTAAAGAACTCTGATTCATTAAAACCTCTTTTAAAAGTAACAACGTAAGGCTTTTGGTGATATTTGATATTTAAGCTATATTTTAAACTGAATCGTCATCAAACATTTATTAAGGACGATGTGAATTTAAATTTCACAACACTGTTTTATATTCCTGCTTACTTAATCACATACGTATTATTCGTGAACATATTGTAGTAAGTATTATAATATATTCGCTGTATGAATCATAACTTGCTATCGTATTTATTTGCACGCTCCATTTTTTTATTGTCTGTATTATTAACAATAATTGTTATGATTCATTATATCATTGTATTTATTGTTAACTACATAACCTATATATTAGTTTAATTCAAATCTTAACTAAATCCTTTTTTTTTACTTTAAGGGTGCAAAGCCCTTAAAAAGACTGAAAATGAGACATTTTTCATAAATAAACTAGGTACTGCTAATAAAGGTTTTAAAGTATTTTTTTTATTCAACAAATACTGTAACAAAATAGTTCTATCAACTATGCATTATAGATTATCACTAGTAAGACCTTATTTCTAAAGTCTAGAATGAGTGTAATGAAAACACGAACTAAATTTAAAAAATGTTCATAAAATAGTTGGCGTGTTTAAGCTTGGTTTATACTTCATTTAAATTATTCAGTCGCGAGGCAAATGTTTGATAATTATCCGTTATAACAGCGGTGTAAGATTGTTTGCTTATGGTTAGCGCCGTCAATGTTTTGGGTGTCGACTGTGTTACGAGAACCGCAATGTAAACACTTGGTTGAGAACTCCATAGAAACCCATTTTCAGAGTAAATTCATATTGCTGTATGAAGTCTTTGTTATAAATGAAAAAAAAAAACATGAGGGACGATTGTTTGAAATTTAATGATAAGGGAAAAATACTGTGTTATTGAATATCTAATTCGTGATAATAAATACTTTTTAAGTCATTGTAAGCTTTTAGACTATTTACGTCGGTCGCCTCACCATGCGGGTGGTCACGTTGTAAAACGTTTGATTGGCATCCCCTGACGAATGATTTTATGTATAATTGTAAACTGTCACTTTAGACTAACCATAGTAATTTGAATTATAATAATTCAAGTAAAATTATACGAGGGTCAAACTGAAAGTTCTTAGAACTGGCCACTTATAAACAATATAATAAAAAAATAATTCTAAAATTTGAAAATATAACTCTTTGCCAATATTACTGAGTATATATTTCATTCATTTGTCATTTGTTTTACGATTTGGCGGCAAATTGAAAATTGTCTGTGTCACGTCATCATGAATTTAACACGAGAAAATTTTCGTGCAATGATTTTTTATGACTTTCGATGTCATTTAAGTCAACAAGAAAGTTATGATAGACTACGATTGGCCTTTCACGATGAAGCCCCATCTCGTGCGACTGTTTACAACTGGTTTAATGAGTTTAAACGTGGTCGCACTAATCTCACTGATGATTTACGTGAGGGACGGCCTTCTACGGCGACGACTGAAGATAACATCTGTGTTGTGCGGCGTATGATAGAGACTGACAAAAGAGTGACCTATCAACAGATTCGGACAAGCTTAGGCATCGGTATGAGTCAAGTGCACAAAATCCTCCACGAACATTTAGCGGTCAGGAAGCTTTGCGCCCGGTGGATACCTCATAATTTGACTGAGGCTCAAAAACTCCATCGTGTGGATTGGTGTCGTAAAATGATTGAAAGATTTAACGGAGGTGACTCAAATGCTGTGTTCGACATACTAACAGGTGACGAAAGCTGGATTTACTGTTATGATCCTAAAACCAAAAGACAATCTGCTCAGTGGGTGTTTCCTTTCGAGGAGTTGCCAACTAAAGTGAAGAGAGATCGAAGTGCGGGAAAAAAAATGGTGGCCTCGTTCTTTGGAAGGATAGGTCATTTTGCAACAATTGTGTTAGAGGATCAAAAAACAGTTTCTGCAGAATGGTACACTACCAATTGTTTGCCACTTGTCTTGGAAAAAGTTCGAGAGAAACGACCTCGCAGTAGGATCCTCCTTCACCACGACAACGCCTCGTCGCACACCGCCAAGCGAACGATCGACTATTTGGCGACATCAAACGTTGAATTACTGGGTCACCCGCCGTATAGCCCCGACCTCGCGCCTTGTGATTTTTATTTATTTCCAAAAATTGAAGAAAAACTTAAAGGAAAGCGGTTTATGAATGCTGAAGAAGCGGTGGCTGCGTATCGCGATGCCATTGAAGAGACCCCTAAGGACGAGTGGGCAAAGTGCTTTTCCCAGTGGTTCCATCGCATGCAGCGGTGTATTGACGTGAATGGACAATATTTTGAAAAGATATAATAAAACTAATAACTGGCTAATGTAATCAGTTTTTGATTTTCTAAGAACTTTCAGTTTGACCCTCGTAACCAGAAGATAATTACAATTTTCGGTTGACATACACACACAACATAAATCACAATCGTATTTTTGAGCATTTAATGTGGACTTTAGCTGACATCTGGCAACATATGAAGGGCAAATAATGTTACTGCGCATTTGAATGTTAACTTTTAGCGGCGGTGTAATCCTGATTATAGGTCTAGTGTGCAATGGTGAACGTCATATGTCTATATTTTGACAATAATGACGTTTTCCACTGGATTATACGAAACAAACCTTCCATCAGTTATGGTGTTAGAAACTTAAAATCTAATTAATATAAAAAAAAGTATATATCTATATAAAATTATATATTCGCACAATTACAAGCACACAATATTTGTTACCGCTTTGCAACAAAGGTCATCTAACTTTAAAATATTATAAGTAAACAGATAAGAGCATTATCATTACATATTATTTATTACTTAAAGATAATAAATTTTCTCATTTTCGCTGTCAAAGAATAGGGATACTATTCCTGAATTGTATGACTGCTTATCAGAAACCTATTGTATATTGATTTGGAGCTATTACAGTGATTTTTTTAAAATCAGCCTTTATAATTTTTATGAGAAAGCTAAAATACGGGCCTATAATCTTAAACATTATTTTCATTAACTTCCGTTGTTTGCTATTGATGAAAATTGGACAATTAACGAGAAAGCATTAAAAAACGAATTGGAAAAATAGGGATATGGCCTGAATATTAAGGATTGTTTACATGGGGTTGGTCATAACATGAGTCAGTAGTCGTGGCGACCTCTTTCTTTATGGATCATCTTACATTAAGGATTGCGTCGATTTCGGGGTAAGTTACTGACCCCATGTAAATGATCCCTAACAAATGTAAAATGAGTTTTAATATACCCTCATTAACTATTTGTGTAGGAAAAAAGAAAAGAAGGAATAAGGAACTTTAATAAAAATGGATTTCACTTACTTATGCCCGCCCATTCACGTTTCATTATAATTCGGTCAAGATAGGTAACAGATAACATGGCGACGAAGATAATTATCGAGCCCCGGAACATTTGGAAGCTGCTCACGTACGTTAGTGTCAAGCCGATGTACATTATTGAAGTGCCAATCTAAAGAACAATATCATTAAATAATAAATGAAAATGGATAGAGAATGGAAAATCATATATTTCAACAGGTGTACCGCGTAACTATACTTACACTAAATTTTGGGTGTGGTAAAGTCAAAGACTTCAATGTGAGTGTAGTTCATACAGTACACTTGTTGGTAATACTGATATTGCATTACCTGCAGTTTATCAGCTGTGCAATAAATATTATTAGTTAAATTTTGCTTAATTATCTAATATGGATTTTAGTGAGTTGTCATCTGGGGGTTAAGATTCTGGAGGCTATAGTCGAGTGACCGGAACACTTAACCCTCCAATGCCCTATGGCATATAGAGATACTCTTGAACCCTTGATTTTTTTGTCCTATAGAAGATAGTGTCATATCCACATATAATGTTGAGAAGTCGAGGATACACTCTAAATCAGTATAGTTGAAAATGAGATAGAAAGTATGGATGTACTTAAAATAGTAATTTAAATCGGGGATTCCCAGAGTGGTTGATATCAACCTCTAATTATCATTCTGATAACTAGTTGGCAGACACATTACTTCTAGTGTGTCTGCCAACTAGTTATCAGAATGATTTATATATATTTAGATATTCTTAAGGAAAAAATGCTTGAAAAATCACTTTGTTCTTGGCACTCTGAGATAGGATTCGAAGCCATTACCTACCGGGGGAGTCCAGGCTAATGCTCTAATAATTGAGCTACCCAGGACCTAACAGAACTGGTGAATTTTTCAAGCACTTGTTATTAACAGGCAATCCACTGAAAGAAATATTTAAACTTTTCATAAAGATGAATGCAAAATTTATTAAATATAAAACATCTATGAAAGTATGCTCTATAACAGCGAAAATTATCAAATGCAAAGATTGAATTTTTATTCGACTATGGGGTCTTAGGTATCAGTTCATTTTATAAAGGGGTGTTTTGTACAAAATAGTTTGGTTATCCCTGATTTAAACTTTTATGAACATAAAATTACACAAATTTCAGACTTTAACGTGAATTATTCTTCCTAAAATTACCCTTTTCAGGTGAATAAGACATTTAACTTCCTAGAAATATCCGGGTTTAGTCTGTTAAATATATAGAATGTGATAGAAGCAACAGTGTAATACAAAAAGTATATCAACTTTACTGAAAATGAAATTTTGACCATTTTCATCATGTAAATTTATGATACAACAGAGGTAGAACCTGACACTGCCTCTGATACACAAACAATCTTCATGGATATGATTTTGAAATTTAACACCAACAACAAATAGAATATGCCTACAGGTATCATCTTAACTTGTACGAGTTATAGTTCATAATTATATTTTTTCATTCATATATATTTTTGTGATGTGAAACGGATAAATAATTTTAAAAATCAACATAAGAAATTTGCATAGAAACTTACAAGGTCAAACATTGCTGCTGGCATAAGGATAAAAGGGTTGAAATTCTGGTTGCCGTTAATAAGTTGATGTCCTGTATCTCTTTTCAGCCTCCAGAATATTTTGAATGTCAGCAAGCACAACATCTCTCCAAGGAACATTGCGCAAGCCTGTTTGTATTAAATTACATTATTTGGTTAAAATTAGAATATGAAATAATTATTCTAACACAATATTTTGACACGATAAAAACACAATAATCATTTTTCTTTGCTCAAGCAGGATGAATTTTCTATGTTTAACTTAAGGTAACTACATCTTAAATGTACTTTTTAAATGTTAGGGGTGAAAGTATGAAATTGTTGTTTAATAGTAACAAATACATTAAATTGACATAGAACCTTCATTGTGTGAGATTCACAAGTGGAACTTTTTACACATGATATCAATGCTGCTGTTCGTTTTAAAAATTATTAGCAACTGTGATAACTAGTATGAATAAGAAAATTAGAGTAATAACATACTGTCACTGGTTGGGGAGCAGTTGGATTAAAAAAAAAACAATTTTCTTGTCACACTTCATCACAACTTTAAATAACAGTAGAACTTTAATGGACTGTGAAAGACATATACATTAAATTTTGATTTAAGTTGTATGAAGCTTAATTAGTTATATGGTGGAGACTAAGGTTATTATCACTGTTTGCATTTCACAATTATATATAGTTTAGGTATTAAATTAATAAGTTTGCTGACCTGTAAGAATGGATGATCGAACTTTCTTGTAACACCATCAGATCCTTCAGCTTCTGTGGTGTCAGCCCATTTTGTGCAAAGACTGTTGATAGAGCCTGTTGCTACCAGCATTAAAGTTAAAAATTTCTGATATCTCGACCACCCCATCTAGAAAATACACTGCAGTTAATTTATGATTTCAATAACAAAACAATATCTATGCATATTTTTAAATAAAATACGATCTTAATTTTTTTACAAATTCTAATTTCAAAACATCATACAAAAATTCTATTTACTGTAGTTTTTTGTTTAGATAACGATGTGAATCCATAGTTCGTATCTCTTTGTTGAAATATTTTATAAATATTTATAATAATAAGAGTCTAATCATAATACGTATTTTTAAGAATATGCAAAATATCAAAAGTAATAACACTATGAATGTACCTTGAGTGCAAAAAAATTTGTTACTGCACGAAACCTTGTGGTTAGTTGGTCTTTGTTTTGTTTGACTGTGTACTTCTGAAATATTAAATTCGATGAATTGGAAAGTGGAACAAAATCGAAATTACTATTTTGTATAGCTATTCAATCTGTATTACAAGACAGAAAAAAGATTACAATTTTACATCAACTACATTAACACATACCTATTATAAAATCACACATACGCAACACAATACAATACACTCACTCAACACAACATAAACTTTTTATTGAGGTCCCTTTTGACACTTCAAAAAGAAGATGAAACGTAACGTTGTACGAAATCGAGGAAACAGGAAACAAATAATTATGAAGTAATTTCATAAAAAGATAGTATATTTTAAAATAAAGGCATTGCCTAGTAGCATAAAATATTCATTATAAATTAGTATTAAACAAATTATAAAAAATATAAACTTTTTACTTTACTACGTAACGTTGCAGAAACAATTACGTTCTAGATCATTTTTTTCTTAAAAATAGTGTAGTGGTCAAGTTAATCGTGTATTTCTTATACACTATTCGTTTTAAGATCAAATCGGTTACAATTATTACACTACAGAATATAGTATTATAACAGAATATTATAAACCCTCCAATCGTCATTGGGCCAGCGTGGAGGGTTATGGCTCATCCTCCTTGACTATCCATAAAAAAGTCTGAGCCCCTGCAGTGGGGACGCAAAAGGGATGGTGATGATGATGATGATGGGGAATTTAAGTTAATTTAACTAGAAAAATCATAAGAATTTCAAATACTTTTTAATGATATCCTTATTTCGATAATAACCATCGAGGTTTCTGGGAAACAATTTTTTTATTGAATTATATTAAATAATTACTTCTTATACATATTTAGCTTCGAGGTAGAGTTGAAATCTTTGGTAAAATATTTTTAAATGTCATGTCATTTTATGACTTCTCATAAATGTACTATCTACATATTTAAAAGGATATTATCAGTGTTGTTAGTATTTGTTGGTAACTCCAGAAAATTTCATTTTTGCCTTTTTGAAGCTACAAAATATTTAGTTCATTGGTTGGTTAAAGTATTTAGTAAATGTAAAATTTATTTTTCGTGTAAATCTATGGTCGTGATTATGTTTCCCTATTGCGTTAGTAATGTTATGGAGTGCAATAAGAGTGTATGACCTACGATCTGCCTAAGCACGAAACTATTAAGATTTCAAGATTCTGTTCTAATATTTGCGTCATTGATAAAGATTTCTATTGAATCTTGTCGAACAATCTTTGTTTTTCGGTGTTAAGAGGCTGAGGACACCGAATGATTTTTAGAAATCGACACGCCCCCTTACATAATTACAGGTGTCTACGCTAGTGTGGGTTAGCTCATTGCACGTTCCTCAGAAGAATAACAAATGCCTATCGGTTCAGCGCCAGCAGATAAACTTTGTACTAATAACAATGACGTTTTATAACCATCAAGTGCTTTGAGTTAGCTCTCTAAAGTGCTAACACAATAGGTGGCGCTGAATTTTTTTACAAGCAAGGAATAATTTCTTTTTACTCCAGATTTTTATGGGGCTTAGAAAAGACAAGTATGTTTTTTCTTTTTGGGTCGACAAAATAAGATGCTATTATTTTGTCTGTTTCATGTTTCAGAATTTTATTCTAATTCATTGATTTTTGAAAAAAGGTCAAATGCTTTGCATTGAACAATGAAAAGATTTAAAATTAAAAGAAATATGAAATAACTTTATAAAATCACTTATGATACCACACATCACATCACATTTCTTCACTCGATTTTAAACCTTAATGTATTGTAGGTAGAGCTAAAAATAATTAAAAAAAGAATTAAAAAATAACAAAAAATAATTTAAAAATAATTTGATAGACTGCAGTAACCTGACTTGCTGCTGATTGTACCTGATAATGTCGGCCAATCAGAATAAACCAAATATCACGTCATGGCACCTAATCCCCGCCGAGTATGACTGAGACGGACTTTCATACCATTTATATTTTCATACATTTTAATTGTACGTACGAGGGTCAAACTGAAAGTTCTTAGAAAATCAAAAACTGATTACATTAGCCAGTTATTAGTTTTATTATATCTTTTCAAAATATTGTCCATTCACGTCAATACACCGCTGCATGCGATGGAACCACTGGGAAAAGCACTTTGCCCACTCGTCCTTAGGGGTCTCTTCAATGGCATCGCGATACGCAGCCACCGCTTCTTCAGCATTCATAAACCGCCTTCCTTTAAGTTTTTCTTTAATTTTTGGAAATAAATAAAAATCACAAGGCGCGAGGTCGGGGCTATACGGCGGGTGACCCAGTAATTCAACGTTTGATGTCGCCAAATAGTCGATCGTTCGCTTGGCGGTGTGCGACGAGGCGTTGTCGTGGTGAAGGAGGATCCTACTGCGAGGTCGTTTCTCTCGAACTTTTTCCAAGACAAGTGGCAAACAATTGGTAGTGTACCATTCTGCAGAAACTGTTTTTTGATCCTCTAACACAATTGTTGCAAAATGACCTATCCTTCCAAAGAACGAGGCCACCATTTTTTTTCCCGCACTTCGATCTCTCTTCACTTTAGTTGGCAACTCCTCGAAAGGAAACACCCACTGAGCAGATTGTCTTTTGGTTTTAGGATCATAACAGTAAATCCAGCTTTCGTCACCTGTTAGTATGTCGAACACAGCATTTGAGTCACCTCCGTTAAATCTTTCAATCATTTTACGACACCAATCCACACGATGGAGTTTTTGAGCCTCAGTCAAATTATGAGGTATCCACCGGGCGCAAAGCTTCCTGACCGCTAAATGTTCGTGGAGGATTTTTTGCACTTGACTCATACCGATGCCTAAGCTTGTCCGAATCTGTTGATAGGTCACTCTTTTGTCAGTCTCTATCATACGCCGCACAACACAGATGTTATCTTCAGTCGTCGCCGTAGAAGGCCGTCCCTCACGTAAATCATCAGTGAGATTAGTGCGACCACGTTTAAACTCATTAAACCAGTTGTAAACAGTCGCACGAGATGGGGCTTCATCGTGAAAGGCCAATCGTAGTCTATCATAACTTTCTTGTTGACTTAAATGACATCGAAAGTCATAAAAAATCATTGCACGAAAATTTTCTCGTGTTAAATTCATGATGACGTGACACAGACAATTTTCAATTTGCCGCCAAATCGTAAAACAAATGACAAATGAATGAAATATATACTCAGTAATATTGGCAAAGAGTTATATTTTCAAATTTTAGAATTATTTTTTTATTATATTGTTTATAAGTGGCCAGTTCTAAGAACTTTCAGTTTGACCCTCGTATTTTTGGTAGGTCGGCTTTACGGAAACGAATATTCACCATATACAATATTGATTGGAAGTCATTGTAGTTAGTACACATATCCATATCGAACTTGCCGGAGGAGGTGAATGACAGCAATTTTAGAATCGTTTTTATGAGAATATAGGGTACATGCGCCTATTTCTACCATCGTCTTGCTGTCGAACATTTCATGGTCATTTAAAAATAATTAATGCGTTAAGAATTGGACTCTACCTGATCTTTGGACTGGGGTTAATAAAACATATCCTGTTTTCATAACTTGAAGAAGAGTTATTTTTTCCTCTAGTCATGATCCTTTTATGGAGGTGGGGAGATATTTTGTAATACTCACGCATCATCAGAGTACAGGACTGGTGACCGGTTAGGATAAAACCATTAAAACACAATCATTTTATTAATCCCATTCATATAGATGATCAAAGTTGCCGTCAGACATTTTTTATTTGATACTTCAAAGGGAACTGATTCAAAAACAATATCTTAAAAGTCTATGCATATTTTAAATAGTACATTAAAGATATAGAGCTTGTAGGGAAGGCAAAGTCATCCAAAAACACTCTTTTTATGAATTCCAATACAATTATAATACTACAATTATTAAACGAAAATTCACTAAAGTTTTTATAGAAAAAGTTATTATTGGCTTAGATTGTTTTTGTCATGGAAAATGTATTTTTTTATAAAAGAAAATTGTCTTCGATTTATAAAAAAATATATTACTTGCACTAAAAATATGACTTATAGGTGTATCACAACAGCTGTAGCTATATTTAAAAATATAGAAAAAAAAACTGTTGCATCGAATCCTTATTAAGTCCTTTATTATCTAAGCAGAGATAATTTTACTTTCGAGTTTATGAGTAAACATATAAGTATGTAGTAAAATTTCTATAGCAGACAGGGAACTAAACGCGATTAAATACTTTACATCCGCTGTATGTATGTACTGTAAGTATGCGCTGTAAGTACATACATTTGAAGTTACAGGCTTAGCCGTAATTTTCACGTCATTGAGTTGCTTTGTAAGATGTCCACACCGTTACCCAGCAATAAGTATAACTGTGTCATAAACTATGTTTTAATACATAAAAGTGACATTCCTATTTTCGTTCTATGATTATAAATCCATTTTCTAATTGGGGTGTATAAGGATATGTGTTATTTCTGTTACACGTTTTATACTTATAACAAATCTGCAAAAAAGTAATGTCTGTACATTGAATATATTTACAAAAAATAAAGAAATTGAGGGTGGTTAATAAACAGTAATAGAATACGAATTATAAAAAATACGAAATTTAAAAAATATTGTCTGTTTATCTGTATGTACACGTTTATTTTCGGGACTACTGAGTATATTTGTATGAAACTTATTTTGTTAACACCTGGGCAATATATGGGGTATAATTAATTTTGGAAACTCAAACATTTGATGCACCACCACAACAGACCAGCGACACCATAAAAAATATATTGCGCCTGATCAATATATTCTGCTAATGTTCAAAAGTCAAAGATCCGGAACATATAATGTGGTCCTCAAAGATACTAGTTATACTATAACTTCGGATAAAAATGACTTCTTAATAATACATAGTTTTTTTATTTATTAACTTTTTTTACACAAATACACATTGGCTTACTTAATGCCATGGCCATTTTCTACCAGTAAACCTGAGGATGATGTGGACACAATTAGACGGGACGGGGTGCACAATAGAGGTGGAAGAGGTTTTGTAGGAATAGGCTATTATGTAACTATACTTACATATACAGATATAAAACGAGATTAACGAAACGATAAAACGATATTTTTGGAGATTTCAGCAAAGAAGATAACGTAGTTAAAGCACGCATACTTCTTCGCTTCCGGACGGACGTCCATTTTGAATTTTAACGATATAGGGACACATGATTGAATTTTCTAAGAATAAAAACCGATATAGTCTTCGGTCTCTAGAATCCAGTGAAGCCAGTGAAAAGCTGACCATCATCATATATTGCCCAAAATCTTTAGATGTACCAGGAAATGAGATAGAAACAATTTCTGAAGTACGCAAAGTTAGAAAAACAGCGCAATAAACCATTGAATTCTGATAGACTTTGATATGCTGTTGA